CTGCCGAGCCCCATGAGGGGCCCGGCGGTGGACCTGCAAGGCAGGCGGGAGTGCGAGGAAGCCCCGCCAAGGCCCTCCCTGGCCCCAGGCAGGCAGGGGTGGGGAGAGGCAGGGAGGAAGCAACTTACCCTCCCTCTTCTCCTGCCTCCTCCTGGCTGAATGAGGGCCGGAAGCAGGGTGGCCGGAAGCAGGGGGCGGGGCTTCGTCATGTGCCCCACCCCCCGTACCTCACCCAGGGGAACTGCGATCCCCCACGATCCCCCATGAAATGACCTCTGGTAACCCCCTCCCCAACATCCCTACGTCACTTCCAAGTCATGCAGGCACATCCTGTTTATTTTCAGTGTTCCTCCTCTGCTCCTGGTAAGTTCACACACAGACCCGTCCTCTGCTGGCCATTAGGTTCCAAAGAAATGCCTGGCCCAAGGTCATCCAGTGAGCATCCATTGCTAGGGCTGCCAACTCTCTGTACTTGGGACGTTCCTGGAGATTTGGGGGTGGATCCTTGGGGAGGCGAGGGATTTCAGCAGGGAACAATACCACACTCCACACTCCAAAGCAGCTGTCTCCTCCAGGGGAACTGATCTCTGTAATCTGGAGATCCACTGGAATCCTAAGAAACCTTCGGGATCCACCTGAAGGTTGGCAACCCTATAGCAGAGTGAGGATTTGAACCAGGGTCTCCCAGATCCTAACTCGATACTCTAACCATTACACCACTTTGGCTCTCTAAGGGGACTAGGAATTATACAGAAGAGCACGGAAGATCTTACTGTAGCAGCTGCTCCGCAAGCTGCCACAGCCATTCAGATTGTGGAGATCAGGGTGTTAGTTCAGAAGGTAGAAATACATCATTGGGTAAATTGAAGTGCTGGGACTCCGGCTCGACGGAAAGTGGCAATTCTCGGTGCATTTATCGGTTGGCTATGTTTAATTATACAGTGTGCTTAGCAGATGGGACTTCCGCTCTGGAGGCCTACAGGTATTTGGAGCACCCGTTCTCCCAGAGCAGGTGTGGGTGCTTATAAATCTCCCTCTTCCCAACCTCCTGTTCTGTCGACTAAATGTAAATTGCAAACCCTCTGGGCTTGGACTGTGTCATTCCTGTGCTCTGTTCTGCTCCTCACACTAAATACATGTTAAATAGCAGGAACAGGGGGTGTCGTACGTGCACAGTCTTGGGGTAGCGACACATGTGCCCACCTGCCGAAAGGCATACTCAGCCGGCGACATGGAATTACAAACCGACTAGGGCTGCCAACCTCCAGAGCCAGTTTGGTGTCGTGGTTAAGTGTGTGGACTCTAATCTGGGAGAACCGGGTCCACTTGCAGCTGCTGGATGACCTTGGGCCAGTTCTGTCAGAGCTCTTCTCTCAAGGACAGTTCTCTCAGAGCTCTCTCAGGCCCACCTACCTCACAGGGTGTCTGTTGTGGGGAGGGTAAAGGAAAGGACTTTGTAAGCTGCTCTGAGACTCCAAGTGAAGGGCAGGGTACAAATCCAATCTCTTCTTCTCTTCTTCTTCTTCTTCAGATGGGGCCTGGAGATATCCAGGAATTACAACTGATCTCCAAGAGGCCATGAACAGTTCCCCTGGAGAAAATGGCTGCTTTGGAGGGCAGGCTCTAGGGCATTATGCCCTGCTGAGGTCCCTCCTCTTCCAAATTCAACCCTTCACAGGCACCACCCGTCAAACCACCAGGTATTTGCCAAGCCAGAGCTGGCAACTGTAAAAAAAACACCTGAGGACATTCAACATTGTAAATCTAGGCTTCTGACACTGCAAGGTCTCTGCAACCCATGACCTTATAAGCCAAACACAGTTCAAGAGCCGGGGATTGCTGCCACCAGGAGGTTAATATAAGAACAGTGCAATCCTACGCATGTCTTCTAAATCCTCTGGAGTCAACGGGGTTAGACGTGTATAATTCTGCACTGGACTGCTCTGTAAATCTCTTGTTTTGTTTACTGGGCTTTTTTTCCTGGAATAGAATAGCAGAAGGGGTCCAAACAAGAGCCTCTCTCCCCATTTGCAGTTGGGCTTGCAAACTGGTCCTATTCTGGAGGACCTTGATCTGAGATTGATAGTACTGTGGTTCTGTGGGGAGACTGTAGGAGCACGGAACAGGCTGCCGTATTGTGGTTACTTGCAAGTTATTTTCTTGTGTTTGCGTGATTGATGTTTGCCTGGTGGCACTTGGCTAGCCACCTTGGAACTTGGGTTGCCAGATTCCTGTTAGGGCTTGGTGAGCTACCAAAATTACAACTGATCTGCAGACCACAGAGACAAGTTCTGCTGGAGAAAACAGCTGCTTTGGAGGGTGGGATCAATGCCATCGTACCATCATACAATCTGAGAGACGTTAAAGGGAGGCTGCCTAAACCATGAAGACAAGTTCGGAAAGCGCATGAAGAGACTTTACTAACAAAAACCAAAAGGACACTATTAATCCACTAACAAATTTTATTTTTTTAACAGGTAAAGATGAAAGATGACTCACAACTCGCAGAAGAAGCCAAAAGAAGATTTGTGTACTACTAGTAAAAGATTAACATACTAATAATAATATCACCCAACCTTTTCTTTATCCCACTATATACCTCCCTTTTTCCTATAAGAAAAAAGAATAAATTCTCTTCTTTTTAGAAGAGTCAATTAAAAAAGTCCACACTCCACTACACCCAACACTCCTAACCACTACACAAAACTGGCACCTTGAGTCTAACACATTTATTCAAACATGAGCTGTCATGACCCAGAGCCTACTTTATGATAAGGGTCAGACATAGGGTTGCCAACTCTGGGTGGGGAAATACCTGGAGGTTTGGGGGATGGAGCCTGGGAAGGCAGGGTTTGGGGAGGGGAGGGACCTCAGCAGGGTGCAAGGCCATAGAGTCTACCCTCCAAAGCAGCCATTTCCTCCAGAACTGATCTTGGTCATCCGGAGATCAATTGTAATAGTGGGAGATCTCTAGGCCTCACGTAGAGGTTGGCAGACCCTAGTCACACACATTATTGTTTCCACCAGCAGCCATTCCATCTTCTGAAGCAGAGGGCAAGCTAAGCTGGTGAGCCCTCTTCCATTGGGACCAACCGCCATCTGGCTCCACCCCCTCCAGGAACTGGCTCCCCCAATGGCCATTCCATCTGGTCACTAAAGAACTGTTCTATAAGTTACACGAGACAGTACTCGAACCTGCTTCTTTTCCCTTTTGGCCCCCCTTTCCCTCTTACATTGTGTGTACCATATTATGGGTGTTATTTTCCAGAAAATAGGTATATAAACATATCATTCCCTGCTTCTTAATTTCCTGAGAGGTTCTCCTCCCCCCAACATCCAGGCCATTTCAGTGAGTTTAAGAACGTAAGTTTAGAAATTAAAATTATACTATCTGCACGGCCTGAAACAAGCAGCCATCTTCCACTCTGCAGAAAATGCAAAGTGTTATACCTCTGTTTTAAATGACCTAAAAGCTAATGGGTCTTAGACCCCTTCCAAACTGCCTTTGTATTCTGTTTTAGTAACCGGTTGTTAATGGATTTGTTCTGTCATTTCAGACAGACCCATTTTAGTAACTGGCTGCTAGAGGAATTTATTTACCTGTTCATACAAACCCACTTGTGTTGCATTAACAAAGCGTGGTTGAGCTGCTTTTGAAGGAAACTGTTTTTTTTTCCATTTTCAACCCTTTCATTGCATTTCTGAATCATTGTGGTGTGCTGTTTAAAATATCCATAGCACTATCCATAGCACTTCCTACAGTACCACTCCCCCCCCTTTTTTTGCCATGCAATCTTCCTTGGACTTTTAAAAACATTCTAAGGTGAGCACTATAGCACTAAACGGCAGCAGTGAAGTGCTATAGTGGTTTAGCGCTATGGTGCTCATCTTAGAACGTTTTAAAAAGTTAAAGGAAGATTGTGTGGTGAAAAAGAGTGGGGGGAAGTGACACTATTTGAAATGACCATAGTGCTTCAGAGACAGTTCATTAATGGAAGGAGACATGCTATATGAAACCCCCATCCCTGTATCACTTCACTTGAAGTTGGGTCAACAACAAGCAACATCCCGTTTAGAATGGTAATGTGAAAATGGCCTTAGAGATGAACCATGCCAGGACTGGAGGCAGGCCTCTTACATTTTTTTTAATGTAGCTCGTTTCTAGTTCAGAAAACAAACACATGATTTCCAGGATTTCCATTGGATTAACCCGAGGTGGAAGTGGTCCCTGCCTCTCTTTCTCACCAAAATGACAGAGACAAATGGCTACATTACCGTGAGAGTTCCTTTGGCAGAGTAAGCAGCATAGGAGTAGAGAAGGTCTTGACCATGAAGCTCTTGAGTCTCTTCGTTACACAGCTGTCCACTAGGAAAAAAACATTCGCTCGTGTTTTTCAGAGTCACTGTATTTGGAGAAGAGCCCGGCAGGTCAAGCAGGACAGAGTAATTTACGAGCTGGACATCTTCAAGGCCAAAGGATGACCACTGAACAAAGAGCTTGGTGGCAATCTCTCCATCGTCTTTTGTCGGCGACTCTATCAAGTCTCTGATGAGGAAATAAACAACAACAACAAAATGGAGGTTAACTCTCTCTCCCCAGGAACAAAGCAGGTGTTAGTTTTTTCCCCTAAAGTGAGACCTAGAATCCTTCAATAATATTGGCTTGGATCCCTTGGCAATTTCTGCAGATAGGGTTTCCATCCCTGGAGTGTGACTTCCTCGCCGTCCTCTAGGATTGTCAGATCTAGGTTGGGAAATCGCTGGATATTTGGGGGGTGGAGGCTGGGAAAGGTTAAATTTGGGGGGTGAGGGACCTCATCGGGGTACAATGCCACAGAGTCTACCCTCCAAACCAGTCATTTTCCCCAGGGGAACTGATCTTGGATATCAGAAGATGAGTTGTAATACCGGGGGATCTCCAGGCCCCATCTGGAGAATGACAACTTTTGTTATGTCCCAAACTGCTCCCCAAAATGCTGCAACTTGGGGACAGGGGCCCTAGGAAGTGGAAGGGGGGGAGTTGGAGGTCTGTAACAGGTAAGGGGAGTCAGCAAAAATCGCCCTCCCTTTCCATTTGCAGAAATCTTCCATTGGATCCAAGCCAGAGCATACTGTATATTTCTTGCATACAATTCTTGACAACGACATTTCAGCATATTGTAATGGAATTACCATGGGACTACATCCCCCAACAGCTTTGACTCTGAACTAAGTAACAGGCGCCTTTTTCCTGAAGGGAAGAAGTAGAGGGCAGGGGGGAAAAGGGAGGGAAAGCAGAGAGGGAGGGTTGCCAGGCCAAGCCTGACAACCAGTGGGTGTGTTGGGGAGTCTCCTTGTGAAGGGTGGACTACCTTTTGTCTTGTATCTATAATGCAGATTTGTATGCCTCCTGAGCAGGGGCTGTTTCATTATGGATAACCACTGGCACTCTTTTCAGGCATTTCACCCTTTTCTGCCATTACATTTATGGCACTCCTGTTTCACATACTGGAACAGGCAGGCAACACACAGTGCACTCAATCACCATCTTATCTGAAAAGGGCAATGTGCACATTTTGCTGCTTCAGTGCATACTACCTGAACATTTGACTTGGGAGGCACATGCATCTGTGTTTACCGTGGCTGCAAAATACATGTGTTGCCCTTTTCAAACAAAATGGCGATCACATATACTGAGACGATCGTCTGTTGCCTGCTGACCTAGTACACGAGATAGGAGCGTCCGAAATGTAATCCTTGAAAAGGGCTCCTGTCACAAATTTTTTATAAAGTACATCCAATGTACCCTGTGTCTGCTCATGCCGTGAGGAAAGGTTTCTGTTGATATTCCAGAGCCAGTTTGGTGTAGTGGTTAGAAGCAATGTTCCCTCTAAGCTGTGGAGTCTCATGAGCAAAAATTCTACTTTGTGAGCCACTGGCATTAAAGTTGTGAGCAAGCGATTGGGCTGCTGCATAAATTAGTTTGCTCTGGAGCCATCCTTCCTGAGCTGAGACAAAAATGTGTGAGCCGGAGGCTAAAGAACTGTGAGCTAGCTCACACAAACTCAGCTTAGAGGGAACACTGGTTAGAAGTGAAGAGAGAAGAGAAGAGAAGAAGAAGAGAAGAGATTGGATTTATACCCTGCCCTTCACTACCCAAAGGTGTCTCAGAGCGGCTTACAAACTCCTTTCCCTTCCCCCTCCCCACAACAGACACCCTGTGAGGGAGGTGGGGCTGAGAGAACTCTTGACAGAAACTGCTCTTTTTCAAGAACAGCTGTGCCAGAGTTATGGCTTGCCCAAGGTCATCCAGCCAGGTGCAAGTGGAGGAATGGGGAATCAAACCCGGCTCTCCCAGATTAGAGTCCGTGCACTTAACCACTACACCAAACTCTAATCTGGGAGACTCTAATCTGGGAGAACTGGGTTTGATTCCCCACTCCTCCATGTGCAGCTGCTGGATGACCTTGGGTCAGTTACACCTTCTCTCAGAGCTGTTCTCTCAGCAGCAGTTCTGTCAAGAGCTCTCTCAGCCCCACCTACCTCACAGGGTGTCTGTTGTGGGGAGGGGGAAGGAAAAGGAGACTGTAAGCTGCTCTGAGACTCCTCTGGGCAGTGAAGGGCGGGGTACAGATCCAATCTCCTCTTCCTGCTGTTGACTCAGTAAATAGGGATGCCAACCTCCAGGTGGTGTCTGAAGATCTCCTGGGATTGCAACTGATCTCCAGGTGACAGAGATCAGTTCGCCTGGGGAACAGTGGCCACTTTGGAAGGTGGACTCTATGGCATCATACCCCACTGAAGTCCCTCCCCTCTTCAAGCCCCACCCTCTTCAGTGTCCACCTCCCAAATCTCCAGTCATGTCCCTGCCCTCAGCTGACAACCCTACTCAATAAAGGAAGCCACAGCCCTCCCTTTGCAAGACCTGAGCAAGGCTGGTAATGGCAGGATGGCTCTTAACACACACACCCTTCCCACGGCACTCCATCATGTCCACTCGAAAGCTGCTCCTCAAAAGCTCCATCCAGAGTGGCCCCGTGTACGACACAATGAGCAACAGGTTACTAGCAGTGTTCCCTCTAAGCTCAGGAAGGAGGGCTCCAGAGCAAGCTAATTAATGGAGCAGCCAAATCTCTTGCTCACAACTTTAATGTCAGTAGCTCACAAAGGCCCTGTCCACACAAGGGGCTTTGGACCGGGAGTGGGACGGAGCAAATGGGCGCGATCCCACTGCAACATCTGGGCAGCGTTGCGCACCCGTCCCCGATCCGGCCCTTCCCCCGATGAAGCGCATCAAAAATGAACCACCTACCGAGGTGGTTCATCCACGACGGCCGCATCCATGCTGGCCTTGGGATCGCCGGCCCGTCTTTCTGCTGGCGCATCCCCGGCTCCTGCCTGAACTGCGCATGCTCAGACATGCGCAGTTCGGCAGTCTCCCGTTCCCCTCCGTCGCTTCCCCCGGCATCTGATCGTGCCGGGGAGGGAATGCGCCGCGGCTCAGGGGATCAATGTGCTCCCGCCGCGGCGTGTTTTTTTTTGGTGCGGCTTTCAGAAGCCGCACTTCAGCCCGTCCCTTTCCGCCCCGTGTGGCAGGGGCCATAGTAGAATTTTTGCTCACAAGACTCCACAGCTTAGAGGGAGCATTGGTTACAAGACAAATCCAGAGAGCCCAGTGTGCATGTGGAAGTCTTTGGGCACATCACTGGATCCCACCCATAGTGCTCAAACAGCTTAGAAGATAGTACAGAGCCCATATCTATTAAAAATAGTAGGGGGGCAGTCTTAACAAAACGGCATTCACCATCTGCAGTCTGTTTTCTATACCGAATTGAGCTTATACAGGCGTTTCAAGTGCGGTGGGCTTATGTTAAAGACTTGCGAGTGCTTTTCAAGAGGAATAATAGTCAAAAGGTCAACTCTTTGGATTTAATCTTTTCCCACTTTATCCCCAATAAGTCTTCACACAGACGGCACAAAATAGACAAGTTAATCCAATTGCTAGTACATTACAAGCCAGCAATGTCATCGGCTATGCCCTTTAATGCAATGACACAAACTTGGACAGTTCCAAAAACGCAGAAAGTTGTTTGATTAATGCAACGGCTGCTTTGAAGATCCACATTTCCCACAGAGCATTAATAGAATAAATAATGAGACGAAGCTCATCCCATACAAATAAGATGGAGGTAATTCCCACTAGGGATGGGCACGAGCTATATTTTTGCAGTTTGGATCCGTTTGTGGTTCGTGGCTGAACCACAAACTGAACCAAGATACGCCGGTTCACAAACTGAACCAGTTCGTATTGGTTCACGAGCCATTTAAACCCTGCTTTCTGCTCCCCACAAAAAGCCGTGGGGGGCAGAAAGCAGGGGTTTCTAAACAGCTGAGCAGTGGTGACTGCTGCTCAGCTGTTTGGTTTAAATGGCTTTGAGCCAATTAAACCCTGCTTTCAGCTCCTGTGGGTTTTTTGTGAGCTCTCTGCCACTCAGATGCTTTTCGTGATTTCTGCTCTTCACGAACTGCCATGAACCACCACGAACTACGTCAAAATTCATGGAAGTTCATGGTGGTTCTTCAGTTCACAAACATCGCTTTATGAACCACAAACCAGCCACAATTTGTGACGAACGTTAATTTGTCTGCTGGTTTGTGCCCATCCATACTTCCCACCTGCCCAATGCTTTGTTTCAAGATGGGGGGTATATTTAAAAAATTAAGAGCACAATGACAAAATTGTTCCTTTCATTGTGGAATGAAAGATGCTTCCTACTTGGTAATTAAATGAGCATGCTATTGAAAGTTTAGCGACAATATCCTTGATTGAATTAAATAAGGAATCTGCATTCCTTATTTAGTTTGTAATTTCTTTAACAAATATTAAAATCCGGATGCAGATCATGACCTAAGCTTTATTAAAAACAATTCAGCAGGTATTAAGTGTTTTTAATGAGCTTTGGGAATAATTTAATCCAACAAACAAACTCCTTTGTCAATTTTTTACCAGCAAGATTAAGGCAGTGATCCTGAGCCCGTAATATCAGGAAGTGTGTTGCATTAGACTAAGTGCCACTTGCTTTGAAGCATGCATGTTCAGAATCATTATGTGGTAAGCAATACTTATTTTTCATGCTTGTACATGGCTCATAGAGTTACACTTCTTTTTCCAGAAGTCTGCGTGTGTCCATTACATTCTCTAGCCTCCAATCCAACTACAATTAATCTTAATGAAATCCCAGCCAAAGCAAAGGGTTTTAAATTAGTCACAACTTACGGTAACTTGCTCCTCCATTAGAACTTCACTTATTTTCACTGGGCTAGTATCCAATTGATTCCGGTACATTGCATTTGGTACATTGGGCCAGTTCACACATGAACACATGAAACTGCCTTATACTGAATCAAACCCTTTGGTCCATCACGGTCAGTACTGTCTACTCAGACTGGCAGTGGTTCTCCAGGGTCACTGGGAGAGGTCTTTCGCATCACCTACTTCCCACATCACCTACTTCCCACATCACCTACTGCAGGTGCCAGGGATCCAACCTGGGGACCTTTCGAATG